GCTTAGATTCATGTGAAATAATTGGAAGCTGGCTCAGTTTTTGCTAACTTTTGGTAGGCTTCTTCATTCCTTGCCATGGGTCCTCCTTGTATATTGGTTTGCAAGTCCTCACAATGTGGTGGCCAACTCCTGTAGAGCAGGAATGGAAGGAAAAAGCTGAGCTTCAAAGCCTTTCATGATGTCGCCTTAGAAGTCACACATTCACTAGCCTCATATTTTACATGTCAAAAGACAGTCCAGTCCTCACTTAGTGGAGGAGAATTAGGCTCCAACTTTTGAAGAGGTTAATAGAAAACATGTGCCTTTTCTAAAGCAACTTGGTTGAACTGAAGGCTCATGAAGAACGTGTTTGGAGGGACCTCTGAAGAGGAGGCTTTCATGTCCACGTTCCATTGATGGTGGCACTGATACAAATTTTTCTAAAGATTGGCTTTTTTTTTGTGTAATGAAGGCTGCATGTGGCAATTTCTTTTATATAAGTAGTTTATATATACTATATATGTTCTAAAAATGATGAAAAATTTCCCTGCCATTTAAAAAAATGTATTCTTATACACACACACACACACACACACACACACACAGGTTTTTCATGAGTTTCTCCCTAATCCTGATGGAGCCAGCATGGGGGTGGGACTCTAAATGTGCCAAAGAGTTGTTAGGTGATTCAGATRCCCAGTCCTGGCTAAATATGATCATTTCATTCATCTGTTAGTGTTTGCTGAAGCAGTTCTTAAATATAACGTCCCTTCCAGACCCACATCACAGCCAGGCTGTAGCTGTGAATATCATCCCAATATCATGTTGAAAAATAACCAGATGTCTCAGTTTGGGACATGCCTTGTCYTGGTTAATCCCTTATAACCTCCATTTCCCTCAACAAATTGCCCTGTCTGGACTAAGAATGTTATGATCACTCAGCCTTGATGCTGAGTCTTCCTAAATAAATATGAGTACTCCATTCCTCACTGGTGATTTTTAACCAGAGCTGTTTCAAAGTTACAGAGCAGCTTTTGAATAAAGACACAAGTTCCTCCCTAATCCTGATGGAGCCAGCATGGGGGTGGGACTCAAAATGTGCCAAAGAGTTGTTAGGTGATTCAGATGCCCAGTCCTGGCTAAATATGATCAATTCATTCATCTGTTAGTGTTTCATCCTCCCATCAATCCCTGAAATGCCTATTAACATATTGGTCCAGCTCTCAACCTGAGATATATAGCTTGTGTAAAATAATACTTTGGTTGAAAAAAGGAACATAAAGCCACATTTATTTTTTTTAATTTTGACTGCCCTTATTTAATCAATCATCTTCCTTCTTAAAACAAACTATAAATTAAAATGATACATGTGTGATTGTCTCTTTTAAAGTTTTGTCATATTTCCTTCTATACTAAATATTATGGAGGTTTAAAAATTAAAGGACTAATTTTTACTGATGTAGGACCATTTTAAAATTTACTTAATTGGAATATGATTTTTCTAAAAAAAAAATAGTGTCAATTAGAATTMATGTATCTACTATATCTTGAGTGTCCCTGCCCCAAGTCTGTTGCTGCAGTGTTGGCAATTCTTGCACATGATAACTCTTTGACTAGCAGAAAGCAAGGGGCACATGAGAGTTAAAAAGAATGTGAACCCTTGGCCCCAGGAGTATGTCATACACCTTATTGTCCCAGCATGTCCTGTTTGCATTGCAAAATAGCCCTATCAGTGACAGTCCTAAAGGGCAGGTCTACCTCATTGGCTATTGCAAGTTCAGAAACTTGCAGCATGACTTTTTCGGCCCAATTTTTTTGAGCAGTATTTTTTAACATAAACCCTTGAAATAGATTTTATTGAAGAAGTGATATATTTAATACTCTTAATTCTAAGTATATTGGGCACAGACTATAAGAATGAAAGTATAACTCTATAAATCTGAGTAGATACAAAAATATGTATATATTCCTGGGCCCCAAGGATGTCATGGTTTAGTTAGAAGCTAGGAGAGGCAAATGTAGAAAATGTTAAACTTTATGTAGACAAAGTTAAGACTAAAGTAGTTATTGATKGGTGAAAAACTTAGATAAATTACTATAGGTTAAGGGACTGTGGTTCATACACTGATAATACAGTGCATGATCCAGTTGCTCCTTACTAAGGAGGAATAGTCTTGTAGTTTGAATTTCGGTTGGTTCTCACAGATAATCTCTCATTAATGAATTAATTAATCTATGGGTAGATTCTTTTCAAGCAATTTCTTCTTTTTCTTCTGTGTGATTGAAAGGTACACTGAATTTTTAACACACCTTTGGTGAGGTATATTTATGTACAATAAACTATATATCTTTAAAGTATACAATCTGACGAATATTGAATTCAGCATATGATTACACTCTCAAAATCACAAGCAAGATACAGAGGTTTTTGGTCTTTGTTTTTTTTCTTTTTTCCTTTTTTTTGATCACTGTTAAAAGTTTCCTTGTGCTTCTCTGCAATTCATCCATTCCTTTTCCTCTGCCCTGGGATCTACCATTGATATCTCTCTCCTGCTCTCCTCACCTCTCTCCTATATATTGCATTGTACTGTAGTTTTTTTCTCTCTCTCTCATCTAGTTCTTTCACTAAACATAATGGTTTTGATACTTACTCATATTGTGGTATTTCTGGAGTTCATTTCTCTTTATTGATGACAGGGTTTCACTCACCACAACAATTATCTATTTATTCTCCTGTTGACAGACATTCGGGTGGTTTCCAGTTCTGGCTATTATGAATATGATCATTCATGTATAGTCCCCCCCCCCCCGCACCCACCAGGGCTGCGGATTGAACCCAGGGCCTTGTGTATAATAGACAAGCACTGTACTGCTGTGCTACATCCCCAGCCCTTTTTATTTTTTTATTTTGAGACGGTATGTTGCTATGTTGCCCCAGCTGGCCTCAAATTTGTAATTCTTCTGCCTCAGCCTCCTGAGTCGCTTGGACCATAGGTATGGTTTTAGGCACCTAGCCATTTAATTTTTGTGTCAACACATAATCCTTTTCTTTTGGGTAAAAACCTAGGAGTGGAATGGCCGAATTACATGGAGGTTGTAGGTTTAATGTGTTAAGAAGCTGCCAGGCTGTTTTCCAAAATAGTTATTCCCTTTTGCATTCTACCATCCATGGATGAAAATTGTAATGCTGGGTCAGTATTTAATATCTAATGTGTGCCAAGTTTATCAAATTTTAAATGTTAAAAGCTTTGATGAGGTCTAGCCTATCTTTAGTAGCTTACTTCTTTAGTTCCAAAATTGTCTTGCTCAAGGAGAAGTAGAATCACAGTAACCAGGCAGCAGCCTTCACTTCAGGTGAGCATTGCACCCAAGTCTGGGTTGCATGGACATCCTTGGAGGATCCAGGTCCTCTTTCCTGGGGACTCAYAGGGGAGGCAGTGAGTTGGCCATCATGATGGGGAGGAACTTCCCTTCCCCAGTCTCTGGCATGTGGACAGGGGAAGAAAGGAACATGATCTCAAATGTGAGGATGCCTCCCCACAGGCCACTCTGAGCTTTCTTGCCCAGGTTTGCAGACCTTCCTCAAGTGACCAGAGGGGAGCAATTCTTGGAAGTACAAAGAAAGTTGTTTGCTTTAGCAAATAAAGTGTTTTACTAATACCAGGCTTTAGGAGGTAAATGCCATTCTGCAACCTGTATACTCAGAAAAATGAGATATTATATCGCATCTGATTCAAATTTTTGTTCGATATGTCAAGGTCATTGTATTGTCATGTGTAACTAATTAAAACAAATAAAAAATAATAAAAAAATAAAGAATACAAATTGAATTAGGTTGGCCAAATTATCTTTTTCAGCCTCTAATTCAGCAATTTTCTTTTTTCACTATTATCACTCATATTTAAACAATGTTCTCGCTAAATGATTAGAYAATTAGAATAAAATTTTAGAACAGATGACTTTTCAGGGCACTTTACTAATTAATAAACAGCTGTTGATTTGAAGATTCATTTAATTCTATTCAGTGGATGTCTTTAAATTATGTAAAATGGATTATGGAAATTTTAAGTGTTCATTAAAAATAAAGAACATGGCGTACCGACACCATGTACCCATTTACAAGCTTTGACAAATTTTAATATTTTGTTAATGTGGTTTCATCTATCATCTGATTTTTTTTTTGTCTTGAACATTTTAAAATAAAAAACCCACAAGTTGTCTTTTTTTTTTTTTTTTAATGTGTGTGTGTGTGAATACTCCCATGTGCCAGCTAATAAGGATGACTTTCCTCATGGCAATCACCTCCTTAGCCTTGTGACAAAACCAACATTGAGGTACTCAGTGGCATTTAAGTCCCTATGTATATGTATATTTCCAAGATTGTGTTTAAAGCAACTTTTTATAGTTGAAATCATTATTTTATTTTTAGTACTGGGGATCGAGCCCAGGAACACTTTACCACTGAGCTACATCCCCAGCCCTTTTTATTTTTATTTGAGACATGGTCTCGCTGAGTTGCTGAGGGTCTTGCTAGATCTCCCATGCTGGACTCCAACTTGTGATCCTCCTGCCTCTACCTCCTCATTCTTTGAGATTATTGGTGTGTGCCACTGTGCCTGTGTGATCATGATTCTTAAACTGGAACTATCAAAGGTTGGGACTATCAAAGACAGTTGGTTTTCATGAATTCCCTTCTGGTTATATTATGTATATGCCCTTATATTTCATGTCTGTATCTTCTTGTCACTCAAATTCCCCTCATATGTGGCAGATGTGGCTTAGCCTTACTTATAGTTAGTTCCCTTGATGATGCCTGTTCTGTCTTTGTGGCCTCTGTACTGATCTCCCTGGTGTGCTATGGGTGATGCATCTTATCTTACTCTGTGATCTCTGCTTCTCACATGGCTCATTTGCTCCAGCCAGGGTTTCCTTTTTCCTTTTCTTAGTATTCCCTGTAGCTAGTCAGCCACCTGTTCCCTCACTCATGACCTTTTATCCATCTCCTAGCATGAGAGGGACACTGTGCTAGATGCTAGCAACCTGGCCTTCTGTGAGGAGGGAGAAGTACAGAGGCAGGGTTTCYTTTGTGTGGTGCATGTGATGTTGCTATGGGAGAGACAAGACCAGAGGGTGGGGCACCCATACCTCATCGGAGGCCACTGCTGGGGGAAGTATGCTGGAGCTTGGACAGGAGGTCTGGATGCACAGGCAGAGAGAGGCGCTTGCTTGACAGCAGGTAGGGAGTTATCCCAGAWGTCTCTGGGGAGTATCATTTAGTGCATGGGTTGTGAGTGTCATTATTTTAGTAATTTAGTCTTCCCAAAGCTTACAAAGAAGGGAGAAGGCTGAGGTTGTGAAGGATGGCACTGGGAAAGTTGTACAGGCAGTAGGGAGCCCCAGAATAGTTCAGGTAGCATGGTGACAAGACTCACATTTGAGCTTTAGAAAGGTGAAGCACATCATTCACATTCCTTGATCTTTGTATCTGAATTTACTTAAGGGTAGGTGGTTAAACTAATTTCTGGGTTGAATAAGACTTAAAGGTAGACTAAGCACAAATCATTTAATAACTACAACAAATATTTCCCATGCTGGTTACCTGAGCTGTGAAATTTTGGATTTCACATGATCCCTGCTGGGAAGGAGCCTAGTGAACAGCTGGCCTGTCCTTCTAATTTGATGGACCTTTCTGAACCCATGTTTTCCAATAATTAACAATCAGATTTCTTTCTGTGTATATGTGTGTGTGTATAACTGGGGACTGAACCCAGCAATGTTCTACTACTGAGCCGCATCCCTAACTCTTTTTATTTTTTTATTTTGAGACAAGGCCTCAATTTGCAATCCTTCTGCCTCAGCCTCCAGAACTGCTGGGATTATAGGCATGCTCCATCATGCCTGGGACAATCAGATTTAAAAGAGAAATCAGTTATGCTAGTAGCACTTACTGTCCGTTGGTAGCTAATAGGACATGATATGTACAGTTGACATTGCCACTTGCCTGTTCTGTTTTACCTATGATTGGCATATGCCTTTGATTGTGTTTGCACAGTGCAAGGATCCACCTTGAACCATTGTTCCCTCTCCATTTCAGAAGGAAATATGACTACCCTAAGGTTGTTGCTGCTCAAGTGGAGAATTTCTCTTTCCAGCACCTTCATATCTCCATCTGTTGTCCCTTATTCATTCTGCCATTTTTCTCTGTATCCCATCTGTTTTGCCAAGGCCTTGGTATAGGGCCTGTATGCAAGAAGTTTAATAAAAATAGAAACACAATACCAAGCCAAAAAAAGACAGAGTGAGGAGAGATATTAACCATGAAAGCAAAGCTGTGTGCCGTGGTTGAGCATCAGTTTTGTCTTTGTGTGTCTGACAAGCTGGACAAAAGGGAAACAATAATTTCCATGGTTCCCATTATTGAAAGTAGGACACGTTCTGGTTTCTCAAAGGAGGGCATCATTTTTTTCTGGCACTAAAAGGTAATTACTTCTTTTTGTTTGTTCTGGTCACTGCTGCTCACATTAATTCTGTGGCTTACTGGAAATGTTCCTTTGGAATTCACAGACACTAAGCACACCAACTGCATGTGGAGTTTGTGACAAAGAGTGTGGGCATGGAACCACGTCACTGTGGGCAGAGGGCATCTGCTGAGCATCCCAAAGGCAAGAGCCCAGGGCTGCTTGTCCTTGAGTTGGATGGGTATAGGAGCTCTGGGTAGGAAATGCATGGAAGGATAGAAGGAACTAGGCACAGAGGTATTTGAGAAAGCAGACTTATCTATACAGTGGTGAGTGTTGGAAGTCAAGCAGAGAGAACAGCTGGGCAAGATCTTGCATGGACATTCACACTGATGTGCTGCCCACCAGGAGCCCTAGCCATAGACAGTGGAGGATCCATGAGAGATCATTGGCTCTTGTCTTAAAAAAACTAGACCTGGCAGCTGTGTGAAGCGGGGGATATATGGTGCAGGGAGACAGGTGGGTTAGGCCATGGTAATTGCCCAGATGCAAAAGGAGAAGGTTCTGAGCTGCTATAGGAAGGAGCTGTGGGATCAGAACAAGAAGAGAAAGGCATTAAAGACATCTGTCAGTGATGGAATGGAGAGGAGTGGTGACCAGTGGTAGGAGCAGAATGAGGGAAGAAAAGGTGAGTTTGGGGTTCTAGATGGTAGGACTTGGTTAGTCATGAAGATCATAAGAACAGTTACTGTTTGAAGAGCCTTTTACAAATTGCCTTTCCAGGCATGAAGGCATAGTTGTCCAGTTAAAGTGTGAAGACGATAGGACAAGACTTATTGGCTCATTTCATGGTGTGACTGAGGAAGATTCAGAGATTCTTTCAAAGTCCTGCAACCAAAATGGTGGGAGCCAACCTCAGGCCAGAGGAGCTGACTCCCGGGGCCTTTGAGTACTTCTCAAAGTGGGATCTGGAATCTATAGCGAACCTGCAATTTGGAATAAGGAACAAAAGAATATCTTCCATATTGGGTGAGAGTATAACAAAGGGCTGATGAGGGCAACCACCCTGGTATGCTCTGATGAGGGGCTTCTTGCACTGCAGGGGACCAGGCTTCAGGGGCCTTAGAAATCATCAAGGTACAGGAGGCGCTAACTTCCATTCAGGGCCTGCTAATACCACTGTAGGAACTGCTCCTTCACTCTGACTACCTCTTTCATTTTCATCTGATGTTCTCCTTACCTTGTTTTCCTAAGGGTATCATATCATGGGTGGACTAAGAATTTACCCAGAGTCTAGGGTTGCCAGATAACATACAAGAAGCCCAGTTAAATAAGAACTTAAGATGGAAAAAAATACTACCATAATTCTGTCCAAATTTCCTATTGAACTAGGCTTCCTGTATTTTTATTTGCTATTTAACCCACTATCTTAGTTTGGATTGCTATAACAACAACCCCACAGACTGAGCAGCTTAAACATTTTTTTTTCCCCCACAATATGGAGGCTGTAAAGTTCAAGATTAAGGTGCTAGTATAGTATGGTTGGTTCCAAGAGCTCTCTTCCTGGCTTGCAGATAGCTGTCATATTCATTTCTTCACATGGAGGAAAGAGGAAAGAGAGAGATAGAGAAAAAGAGGTGGGGGAGGGAGGAAGTGAGAGAAAGAGAAAGAGAGAAAATGAATATGAATATGAATGCACAAGCTCTCTGTTGTCTATCTGATCTTATAGCACTAATTCCATTTATTAGACTTCATACTCATGACCTAAGCATGTCCCAGAGGCCTCACCTCATACCATCACCTTGGGCATTAGGTTTCAACAGGTTTTTTAGGGGAATGCAAACACTGAGTTCCATAGCATAGTGTCATGGAACCAAGAGATGATCTATAAAACCTAACTGGCTATTTTGCTATTATAATCTGCTGCTGTTGGGTATTGCAGTTGTGAGAGTGAGCAGGTGTCCAGGGGAAAGTGTGTGAAGTGAGGACATAGGGCGCCCAGTGAATTCTAAGGTGCACTAACTCCCTGAGAGATAGCCCAGAATGCTCCAGCAGCAAAAATTGAGATGAGGGAAGCGGGGCTGAAGGAGCCTGCCCAGATGCTGCAGGGACCGCGGCTCTAATGAGAACTGAGATCAAGTGTCCGTGGGAGGGGATGCCTGTGACCTCATTGAGTCAGTCAGGAGATGGCAGAGACTAGTTGGCCAAGAGTTTAGGAGGCCAGATAAGGAGGGGATTGTGAGTGGTTATTGATTTTCCTGAAGGCATCTGTTGGGAAAGGAGATCAAATATTTTGCAAAATAATCAAATGATAGACTCCTTTTTTACTTGAATAGAATGAGAAGTTAGGGGGAAAAAAACCAAAACACTGGTATAAACCAATTGGTTGACATTTATTAGTCACCAAATTCTGAATCCCAGATGAGGTGGGCACACTTGGAGGAGATGTGGTTCATATTTTCTACAGTTCTCTGCCCTGTTTCTTATTCAGGCYGTGTCTGTATGCCATTGTTATTACAAGGGTAACAATAACTTTTGACTGTTTTATATTGTTATTAAGGGCAGGTTGAAAAAACAAATATTGTGGGCCCTCAATATTTTGCAGGTTCTGCATCTGCAGATTCAACCAACCACAGATCAAAAATATTTAAAAATACAGAGTTTATTTCTTGGCATTATTCCTTAAACAATAAAGGGTAACAGCTACTACAGTAACATGTGCATTGAATTTAGTATTATAAATTATGTGGAGATAATTTAAAGTGCACAGAAGAGTATGTATCGGTTATATGTGAAATCTATACCATTGCCATTTTACATAAGGGAATGAGCAGTTGAAGATTAGGATACCCAGGGTAGGTTCTGGAACCAATACCAACCCACACCATTACAAGGGATATATATCACTGCATATAATAAAGTGGGGGAAGACAGCTTTCCATGGACATCCATCTTGAAGACAGGTACTTAAATCCAGTTCTTATTTTCTATTTGGATTATTACTATTTTTAAAGTAACATAGAATCCCATTGACTTATTTTGTGTGTAGTTCTGTGGATTTCACACTTGTGTAGATCCATGTAGCCACCAGCTCAATCAGGGTACAATAGAGTTCCTTCACTTCAGCTGTACCACAGGACTGCATGATGTTCTCGTCTAAATAGTCTTCCTGGCAACTGCTGATCTGTTCTCTGTCTCTGTAACTTTCTGAGACTGCCAGGTAAGTAATACCTGAGCGTAATTTCATTAACTTAGCATACCCTCTTTGAGACTCAGCTCCTTGCACGTGTGAACAGTTTGTTCCATTTTCATTGCTGAATAACCTTCCGTTCTGTGGATCCTCCAAGTTTGTTTACGATCCCATGAACAACACTCCAGTTCCATTTGCTTTTTATCCTCACCAATATTTGGTAATATTAAAGTTTTTTAAAAAAAATTTAGCCATTTTATAAGTACAGGATAGTATCCCATCATGATTTTAACTTGCATTTACCTGATAGCTAATAATGTTAAGAATTTTTGTTTATTTGCCATCCATGTATCTTTTGGTAAAATCTCTCTGTTGCAGTCTTTTATCTATTTTCGGTTGGATTGTTTTTTTATGTTGTGTTTTGAAGTTTCTTTATATAATGTGGTACAACTCCTAAGTCATATATCTGATTTGTAAATTTATCTTTTTTAGTCTATATAGCTTGTGTTTTCATTATTTGGCAATGTCTTCAGAAGAGTGGAAGTGGGTTTTTGTTGTTGTTGTTTGGTTTTGTTCTGCACTAAAGGG